AGTATAGCACCTTATACCCAAAGTATAACACCTTATCTCTCAGGCGGTCCTCGCTAAATTTCAAAGCTGTAGAATTTCCAGAGAGCATAAGGTGCTATACTTTGGGCATAATGTGCTATACTTTGCCCATAAGGTGCTATACTTTGTCATAAGGTGCTATACTTTGGCCATAAAGTGCTATATTTTCCCGTAAAGTGCTATACTTTGCCTGAAGCTTCGAAATTCAACGAGGACGGCCCGACGCGGTGGATAATCGGCCAATAAACACAATGCGTCAGTAGTCGAGTGTTTTTGAGTGTTTTAGGGTTTTTTTGAGTGGGAGAAGCACCAGAAATATGGTGTATTTGATACTTTGGGTTTATAAATAAGTGATACTTTGGGTTTATAAATAAGTGGGTGTTGTATTTTGGATGTATGGATCATAATGAAAGAAGGTGGGTTTAAAAATAAGTTGGAGTAAAACTTTGGGTTAAAAGAAGATTTTCCCTAAAAAAAAGACATCATCACTCCTCCACCTCAGTATCTTCTACACAGAACAAAAGTTCAGATAACACCTAAACTATCCTATCACTCTATCTGATCTCTCTCCATCTAACACTATAAAATTCCAAAAGTTTTGTTAAGTTTCAAATCAGATCACTAATTCTAATGTTCTCTACAAATCCAATTGGTCTTCTTCTATTTAGTCCTTATCCCTCAGCACCACCCCACACTTTGCCATGTAATAACAACAAAAAGGTTTGCACCCATATTTTTTTGTCAAGGTGCAAGCAAGCTCACATATATGAGCCAAACCAGATCACCTATGGGCCCCATCTCTCTCTCTCTCTCTCTAGCTAGATCTCTCTCATCCCTATGCTCCCCCATATGGCTTGGCACATAGAAGCTAAATTACTCTCCCCACCCTTGCTCCCCTAGGAACTTCTAAGTGCAGCTAGCACCCTTTTGCAAGATGTTTTAAAGATAAAAGCACCCCCCCCCCCACCCACCCCACCCCCACCCGCACCCCCCTAAAAAAAAAGGAAAAAAAATCTAAACTACATAACATATCACAAGCCCCCATCTTGATTCACTCTCCCTCTCTCTCTCTCTCTTCCCTTCTTTTCCCTTGTTCTTAGTTTACAATACAAAGACAGATATCACAAGGCCCTATCCTGCTTCACTCTTTTCCCAATGTCTCAGTAGATCTTATATATATATTCCATTCAAGAACAAGAGAGGGAGAAATTAAAAGGATTTTAGCAAAAAGGGAGCGCTGAAGTTCAATTTTTCTCGAAAAGAAAGAGTGAAGGAAATTAACTATAACTACGTACATGGAGTTTCATCCGAGAATAAACATGAGGAGCTTCATCTCGAGAACAGCATCAAACTAGAAGCGCAAGAGACCCGCCGTCTTCCTCCCCGACGCCGCCGCCGCCGCCTCCGCCGTCGAGCAACGCGAGCACATGTTCGAGAAGGTCGTCACCCCAGCGCGACGTCGGCAAGCTCAACCGCCTCGTCATCCCGAAGCAGCACGCCGAGCGCTACTTCCCGCTGCGACCCCACCTCCGACGACTCCAAGGGCGGGCTCCTCCTCAACTTCGAGGAGGGCCCCACCGGCCGACCGTGGCGGTTCCGCCTACTCCTACTGGAACTCCAGCCAGAGCTACGTCATGACCAAGGGCTGGAGCCGCTTCGTTAAGGATAAGCGCCTCGACGGCGGCGACACGGTCTCCTTCTCGCGCGCCGTCGCCAACTCCAACCGCCTTTTCATTGACTGGCGCCGCGCCCGCCGCTTGTGGTCCCGCGCCAGATGGTCCCCACGTGGCCCTCCACGTGGACGACCGTGATTCCGCCCCCGTACTTCAGGCACGTCCCGTGGTGGGGCGGCACGTGAGGGTGTGGATCATGGGATCCTGGAGTCGGTGCGGTGCTGACGCCGAGGAGGCACGTGAGGTTGTTCGGAGTGAACCTTGAGTGCGAGGAGGAGGAGGAGGGCAGCAGCCCCCGTCGGCCGAGTTGGCCAATGCAGTGGGTATGTCGGCGGGTCGGAACGCCGGCAAGGAGTTACAGCGAGCTTCAGCTGATGCCGCCAACAACGACGGAAGAAGCAGGGAGATGAGGTTGAAGAATATGATGGAGGAGAGGTTAATTGTTTTTACCATATATATATAATTAATGAGGACATTTTTATATATATCTTGCTTGATCTCTGATTGAAGTTTTCTTTTTCTCTCCCTCTCTCCCCCTTTTTTATTTTTAAAAAAAAATTAGTATGATTTTTCAGGATATATAGTTTAAGAATTTGGAATGAGGAAACACTAGCTAGCTGATCAGAAGAGAAATTAATTGATTATGATTTGTGGAGTGTTTTAATTAAACTAGTTTTAATCAAATGTAAGCATGATCCTAAACGCAAGAGTAATATTTTCCTTCCGTTTTCCATGCATTCATTCAGCTTCTTTTCGTTTCGTACACAATTTTTTGTTAGATTTTTGCATCTCAATCATCTCAACTAAAGGCATAATATAGAGTTTGTATTTAGCTAAGTCTATAGAGTTTGAATCTAAAGATAAATGATTTCCTTCTACACCTACGATTACGCATCGTCTTTGGCTAAGTCTTAGAGGTAACCCTAGAACATATCCATTTTGTATTTTGAACTAATTAATTTCAGTTAAATGACATTAACTAGGTGCACTTAAGTGTGTTTATAGTTGTTTCTCATGACCAACACATGATAGGAACTAGTGAGCCACAATAGCTAGAAGATACCACAGTTAATGAAGAAGTAATTAGTGAAGGAACTATTAATTGAGCTCATGTTTTCTTTTCAGAGGATTAGCATTTAA